ATGAAAACCAGAAAAGGCCACTTAATGTGAAGTCACTTGAAAAAGGGACTTGAATTTCATGATAAAGTGTGGAAAATATTTGATTTAAACCTAGTCTTGAAAAATTAAATTAAAAATTATGAAATCAAGTTATCTTATCTTGAACACAATTTCAGTTGTGATAGCAACTGAATGTGCTAATTCTTAGAATGGACTAAAATGAACTGTTTTGTATTTTGGCATTTTTTTCTTTCCTGAAATAGTTATATGATAACACATTATGGTTATATTCACTATCAAAGAAAGAGTGTAACAAGGTTCCTTTTACAAAAATAAAATTAAGAGTTTCATCAATGTTCTCAGGGCCTCTTTTCATCCTCTGAGATGCAAACTGTTCTCATTTGAAGTGTCTTTCATGTTGTCATCATTTTCATTTTCTCTATTTCAGTTGTTACTTGGCTAGAAACAGAGGAACAGAACTCTGGTGAAGACTAGTTTCATGTCAATCTGGAATAAAATTTGAATCTAGAAATGAAATGTACTCCAACATATTGAGTTGTATTTTCTTCTTTCTTACACTTCTTTGTTAATGGCTATGAGAATTTCATACTTAGCCAAGCTGTAGTTACCATTTAAAGTTTGTGAAAATTCCAAACCATTTCTTTGATAGTCATCTTTGCCAAAAGAGTGTGCTGGCTACTGTAGACAAAGGGGATGGCTAGCAGAAGGGCTGGAAATCAGGAGACCAGCTCTGCTGTGTGGGCTCTGACAGCTTCCACTTGGCTATCTGGAAAAGGCAGGGTCTGGACTAGAAGACATCTAAGGAGAAATTCTCCTCGCTTAGTCTTTAAATCGTAGTACACAATTTATCAGGTAGGCAAGTCACCAACTACCTGAAAACCCCAAATTCAGTTTTTATATACAAACAAGAGTATTATTCATTATTTATTTATTAAGAATATAGTAATAAATAAGAACAGTACTAGCTACTTTTCACTGAGCAGAAACTACTTAGGGTGATGATGTTCAAATTTTTGCACAGCAAAACACCTGATATAGAATAGATATATAGTAACAAACAGGTTCATTCCACTGTTTTAAGAAGAGTACATAGAAAATAACTCCTTTATTGTGGAACTCATAAAACATCTCTGCAAAACACTGGACACAGGGGGTGGACAGTTTGGAAAGCAGTATTTCTGAAGGATACTCTGAGCATTTTTGGAAAAGACAGTAGAGACTCAATAACATTCACTGCTACAAATATAAAAATGGATGCAACTATTTTGATGGAGACTATTGTGGTGTCATACAAACAGTTAAAAGGAAATGACAAAATTTGCAAATTCACCTGGAGGCAGGCTTTGAATGGAGGGTATTCGAATGGAATTGTGGTGGTGGGCTGAATTCCTAGTTTAAAGAAATTTTTAAAAAATTTGTAATCAATCTCATTGCCTCAACCCTTGTTCTCTCCATCTCAGGGTTTAAGTAATCTTTTTAAAATGTAAATCTGATTTACCACTTCATTTCTCAAACCCTCCAATGGCTTCCCACTGACTCTTTGGATGAAGTCCAAATGCTTAACATGGCCCTTCTCCATGCCTGATCTCATCTCATAACACACTGATTTCCTTTCTTTCTTTTCCTTTCCCTTTCTTTTCTTTTCTTTCTTTATCTTTTGAGTCTGAGTCTCACTCTGTCACCCAGGCTGGAGTACAGTGGCACACTCATGGTCACCGCAGCCTCTACCTGCTGGGCTCACGTGATCCTTCCACCTAAACCTTCCAAGTAGTTGGAACTACAGGTGTGTGCCATCACACTGACTAATTTTTAAATTTACTGTAGAGAGGAGGTCTTGCCAAGCTACCTGAGCTGGTTTTGAACCCTTGGGCTTGTTATAGGCCAACAGAAGCCCCCAAATTTGTTTAGGTATCTCTATTAGAACATTAATCACTTAGATTTAAAAGGCTTATTTCTAGTCAGAATCCAATTGAAACTGCAGGAGCAGCTTGTGGTTTGAATTTAGAATGAACACTTTCGTGTTTTTCTATTCGCTGTTCCTTTGGACTGTACCCACCCTCTTGTTCTGTTTACACCTTCAGGTTTAATTGAAGGACTGACCTTACAGACCAGGCTAATCATCCACCCATTGGGAAAAAGAATAACTAGTGGCACAACTCCCTGACACCACCTGGCACCAGCCCACATTTGAAGACCACCAGACACCTCTGGGTTGGTGGAGTGCAGGGTTGCACAGGTCTCATGAGCCTCACAGGTCTCATGGGCCTCACGGGTGGTACATAACATAGGTAATGATTTCTCAAAACTCAACCTATATAACCCTCTTGGCTCTTTTGTTCACGGAGGCAGTGGTTTTCAAGGCATTAGCCTAACTCTGTCTCCCTTTGCTGGGCAGAGAATAAATCTCTTCTCCCAGCTTACTGCCTCTTGTACTCTTTAGTCCGCAAGGATTAGAGCAGGTGGTTTGTTGGACAGGGCCAAAACAGGCTCAGGCAATGCTCTCTGCTCTCACCTCTGCCTTCCAAAGTGCTGGGAGTGCAAGCGTGATCCACTGCACCTGGTTGATTTCCTTTTTGTACAGTTCCTTGAACACAATGATCTCTGCTTTTCCTTAGGGCCTTTGCACATACTGTTTCCCTCTGCCCATAACTCTCTCTCTTCTCTCTCCACTTCTCCTGGCCAATTCCTCCTGTTTGTCTTTTAGGTCTCAACCTATATAAGTTCCTCAGAGAGGACTTCTTTGACCACCCATACCCCACTTCACCCAGCTATTTTAGTTCCTCATATTATTCTTCTCTTGAGACTTTGTTTACTTGGTAGCTGCCTTCTGCCTCATCCCAAGATTAAGTTTAAGAAAACAGTTTACAGAATAATGTATAGCACATGATTCCAATTTCATGGGAAAATATGTTGAGAAATACAACTATGTTTCCCCCCTCCCTGTCTCCCCTTGTGTCTTGTTCCTCTTCAGACAGGTAGTCATCTGTTTCCATCTTTTGCCTCAAGGGAGGGATGTGGCCAGGGAGAAAACAGAAACCGTGGCTTTTCCAAAAATATCCAATGCAGTGACTCCAACATGAGAATAAGAAAAAACTAGATAAGTAATTTGGAACACTAAGGTTTATACACTCAGCACAAGTGCCATTTCTCTGATGAGAAAAGGATCATTTAAAGTGGATATGGACTCAACACTACTCCCTATACACTTGATGTTCTTGAAAAGTTCTGGACACACTTGACAAAATAGATGTCCTGATTCTCAGTTAGCTCAAGCCTTCCTAAAACCCCTCCTAAATGGTCCCTTCTGCAATCAGTATCCTAATATGGATTACTGTGGAATGCAGTAAGTCTGGGAGTAGAGTGGGGTGGGGTGGAAGGAGACAGGGAAGCAGATTTCCCTGTGTTGTTTCTGGACCTTGCCTTGCTCACCAAAGTATGCCTGCAGGCCTCCACCACATCATCCCAGCTAAGCACAGCAAGAGAACTCTAACACAAGCCAAGACTGTCCCAGTATCACCTTAGGCAATGGCAGAAGTGAGAAATACAGTCATAGACACAAAACACTGTGCTCATCACACCGTAGTCTTTTAACAAGGCCGAGGCACACGTTGGAGGTGGCCTCCTCCTGACACTGCGCAGATTGGAGAACAAGATTCAACAAGGAACGGGTGCCCATCTCCAGGATGCAGAGGGCCTGATTTCTCTCATTTAGCTGGGATGATGTGGTGGAGGTCTGCAGGCATACTGTGGTGAGCAAGGCAAGGTCCAGAAACAACACAGGGAAATCTGCTTCCCTGTCTTCTTCCACCCCACCCCACTCCACTCCCAGACTTACTGCATTCCACAGTAATCCATATTAGAATACTGATTTCTAGGATTTCTATCTTATCTGATCTCTACTTTCACCACCCTCGTGCCATCAAGGCAGGGAGATTCTACACCATAGCCAACAGAGTTCATAGAATCAAAATCAGAAGGGTCAAAAGGAATACAACTTATTTTCTAGATAAATATAAAATGTACTTATCCATATTTCAGTATGGCAGAGGGACACAATAATCTTCCTCAACCACTTAGAGTTCTAGACATAGCAGAACTCTCATTTAGCAGATAAAGGCACCTCATTAGATGGGCAATATAATTACTAAAGGGCAGGAAAGAGACTCTGGCAAAGAGAGAGAGGAGGTAACTGGGAAAGGGTTCTGCATTTTTGGCAACTAATTTTTCTTTCAGAAGAGCAGTCAAGATAATAAAGGTAAAAGAGAGAGAAAGGAAAAGATTGAGGTTAGATGATGCTGAGCTATTATCTGTAACCAGCAACACCCAAGGACAGAGAGAGGCACATGGTAACCACCTACCTCCCTTCCAATAAAATTCCCCAGGATCTTATAAGGACTTAAGCAAGGAAGCAGATTAACTTTTAAGGCCAACCTTACAGAACAAGAACAACAAAAAAAGTCACCCTCATCTGTTCTTTGGGGCCTATAATATTACACCCCATGATCTGAGATCCAAGGCAAATCAACAGGAAGGATAATAACACACCAGTGTGAATTCTTGGTATCAAAAAGGCGATAACTCAATATTTTAACAAATATGGATTATGCACCTAATATGTACCAAAGCTAACTCTACCTCAGATCTCGTGCTCTCTGATGGGGCATTAGGGAAGAAGTGGAAGAAAAAGAGACAGGGAGAAGAAACAGAACAATTTGCTGACCTCATGGTTTTACCAGCAGCAGGCCAGTTTATGTTCATTCGTATTTGATACAAACAAAAGTCAGGCTAAAGAGCATTCCTGCTCAGCATGGCTGCATTTGAGCATCTGTGCAAGAATATGGCTGGAGCACAACTGGGCAGAGAATAGAGAGCTCTGAAGCTGACTTAGCTGATCTGCCTTGGATAAACCCACAAGTCTCTACTCCGGAGTAGGATTCTCTGCAGAGGAGGGTGCTACTACCCAGATATGGGACATTCCAGGAGCACAGTACAGCACATACCTGGGGGGACAGGGCTCCGTGTTACAGGCCTGGCTCATTGCTGGAGGGCGGTGTACCATATCACACAAGCTGTCATTGACTGTCTGCTGGGTCTGGATGTGTAAGCACACTGCTATGGCTTCTTGATGGCCTGGAGGTTAGAAAGAAGCAAAAATGCAAACACAAATGACGTAGAATAATTTTCTGTGGAAAAAAAGAAAATAGAACCTTAGGTCTTTTCATTTGTAGGGTATTGCCCTTTTGAACTATCATGGGGCTGCAGGCTGCGTTTCAGGATACACATGGGAGCAAATAACTTTGCACCATCTGACATCTCTCAGTCTTTGGTATTCCCTCATTCACCTTTTAAATTCAGTTTCTTTATTCTCACCTCCAGAAATCTACTTGCCTTGAAATATTCAGGAACATTCCAATGCCCCATCTACCCTCTGCCTTATCTCAAATGTATTCAAAGATAGGAGTTCCCCTAAATGAACCATCAAGGTGTTCCTTCCAAACATATACAATAGTGTCCCTAAGAGGAATTTTCACTTCAGTTGCTAAAGAATAACATTTTTTTCTATATCACTGCACATGTGCTAAATCTGACATAACTCTTCTTAAAATTTTCCTTCTGGTTTGAGTTTCTGTTCATTATTATTATAATTAGCAATACTTCTGTTGCTAGCAAAACCAATAAAAATACCTCCCATCGAGAAAGTGTACAAAGTGCTTTCAAATTTATTAGTTAAGCCCATGATAATCTATGAGGTCAAAAGAATTAGCTCCATTAATTTAATAATAAAGACATCAAGGTTTAGAGAGAAATGAAGATAGCAAAATAGGGTATCCCCTTCAGGTCCTCTCCCACTGTAGGAGCTTTACTGTCCTCTCAATAAATCCTGCTTTTAAAAAAAAATGGTAGATTTGGGTAGATTCAAAAGTAAAAATTAAGTTCCCTGCCTCCTAATTTAACAGTCTTTCTTTTGTACTCTAGGGATTCTAAAATGTAACACAGCCAACCTGCTTCTAACAGCAATGACTACTCCTTGTACAGATATGAACTTTCACAGGCATATTTTTCCTTTGAGGCCAGGTCGGTCTGACCCCAAAGTCCATGATCTCAACCACTATTCTTTGTCTGCTGAGACAAAAAAGAATGACTGGGAAATCAAAACTGAACAAAATATAAATCAAATTTGTCTTTAAAAATCACATAAAAACTATAATAGCAACTGACTGTGTTATTTGAAATATGCAAATGTATTCATTTTCATGCAAGAATGTGCATTCCATTATGTTAAAAGGTTGTGGTTCTTTTTCCAAATGCCATGTTTCAATTCAACCATTTTACAGTATTTTACAGGATGTAGTATTGGCCAAAAATACTTATAAAGTATATATTTGTGATGTTCAGTTCTTTCCAATAAATTTTCTCCTGCTGTCTTCAGTTGTAATTATGTGTTTCTTGCCATGGCAGGATACAGTCTTAAATCTGCGTGTATCTTTCATGAACTTTCAAAATAAACACTGGCTAACCTGAGATATAGGGAGACATTGCTACAACTTAATAACTCTGGTTCTATTTGTAAATATGAAAACTTCTCTAGCTATGTTATAGGGGCTTATATGTTCATTTTCTAGTAAGTTTCACTTTTCTTAATATGAAAAAAATCCAGTTATCATTCAGATATATTTTAATTTGTAATACAAATTCTTTAGAAAATATATTCATAAATTATTTTGGAATGTGTTCTGAGTGGGTTGGCCCTAAAGCACCATTGTAACTCATTTTAGATGGACTTTCACAACACCAGCAACACACTTTTCTGTCTTCAATCAAGTTTATAGAAAGTAATTTAAAAGTTTAATAGGCTGGGTGCGGTGGCTCAAGCCTGTAATCCCAGCACTTTGGGAGGCTGAGGCGAGAGGATTGCCTGAGCCTAGGGGTTCAAGACCTGGGCATCTTGGTAAGACTTCATCTCTACAATAAATAAAAAAAATCAGCCAGGTGTGGTAGTGCGTGCCTGTAGTTCCAGCTACTTGGAAGGCTGAGGTGGAAGGATCACCTGAGCCCAGCAGGTGGGGTGGCTGTGAACATGCCACTGTACTCCAGCCCGGGTGACGGAGTAAGACTCCAACTCAAAAAAAAAAAAAAAAAGTTTAATAGATGATTTAGAATACTTATTGAGGTAGAATTGCATTTTCCAAAGATGATCACAAAATCTCTCATATCCCACATGCTGGTCCTACCATGTGACTTTGACACTTCTCACTTTAATAAAATATTTACCTTTAACTATGAAAGTTTTGAAAAAGTAAAAATTATAAGAATAAGTGTACTTCATCTTATATGTAACAAAATTTAGATAATAATTGCAACTATGAACTTAGAACATATGAAATAAAGCAAGTGTTGGAATTTCAGCACCATTTTTCTAATATTCCCTTTGGTGCATGAGGCAACCTCCTTTCCTACACATTTGACTTTTGTAGCATTATCATAAAAGGATCATTTTTTAAGCTGTCTCTCTATACATGTATATATATGTATATGTCTCCATATAGTACACACACACACACACACACACACACACACACACAAAGCCTTCATTATGAAATAAATGAATGACTAAAGGGTATAAACATAGACATAAGAAAATTATGTTGATTTATTAAGCAAACAGCTTTGGGTACTATAAATGAATACAATATGCTCTTTCTAAGCATGCAGGAAACATTAACAAAAATGGATCCCATATTAGTCTAGAAAACTGCAGTAAGTTCCAAGAGTCATACATTATACAGGTAACATTCTCTGACTATAATATAGAACCATAAATGAATACATAAACAACTAAGCCCCCCAAATCCACCCTCTAGAATTTTTTTTAACAGTCCTAGACCAAAGAGTAAATAGGTTACACATTATTTGTGGCATGAAAAAGGATAAGAGGAAGGCTTAAAGCAACATGAGACGAGATGAACAACTCTAGACAATACATTTCAATATCCCTGTGAAATGGATAAATTTTTTTTCTAAGCAAACCTAAACTATGAAATTGACTTAAAAATTAAGAACTTTGACTAAATATAACCATAAGTGAGGGGAAACCTGAAAATGATGTTAAAGGTGGAGCCTTCAATCCTGTCCCCTTGAGGAGAAACAGAAAGAATTTAGACGGTTGTAGGACCGGATCGTTCAAATTTTTTAAACAAGTAATTTCTATGATATAAACTACTTAAGGTTATTTAAAGATATGGAAAACTCCAATTCACCTTACAAAATGACTATAACCCGATATCTAAACCTATAAAAGGAAAAAATAGGCCTACTTCATACAGTGTTGCATTGTATAATGCTATATTATATAACATGATGGTCTTTGTTTCAGAAACACGCGCGCGCACACACACACACACACACACACACACACACATACATGCCTAAAATCATACTGGAAAAGAACAGTTAATATAAATTTTTTCTCTCTATCTTATTAGCTAGTATGATTGAATGGGTACTACTATAAGCTTCTGTCTAATAAAAAAGAAGGAAAGCATAATATGCTATGGATCCAAAGAACAGCATCCTATTTGAAGTTAAAATGCAAATTTTATAGCACTCTGAATAGGTGAGTTCCTTTTAGGAACCAATTGAGGAGACAGCTGGTAAAGATTAAGGACTGTTGAAAGCCATTTGGCTATATAAAGGGCATCATAAACATCACTGGAGCCTGAGTGGAAGTCACCAATTATATCAAGAGGAGCTGGAAGAAACTACAGCTCATGGCCTGTCATAGTTCGAAGGAATTCAGAGAAAACAAAACAGCAGTTGCTAATGTACCATGTCGGGAACATATCTCTATCGGGACATGTTAAAGTGAAACCAAAGTGGGTCAATTCCATTTTCACTCCCACTTTACCATTTGCAGAGAGGTATTCCATTTTGCAAAATAGAGTATATCTACATGCAACAATATCACTAATATGTACATACATATATATATATATGCAAAGTTCTAAATTAAATAATAGCATATTGTGGTCCCCAGAGGTATAAAATAATATTGCATCATTACCTCAAACATTTGTATACTCACCTATCAAATCACTCTCAGCAAATATTCATATACACAAAAACATAGAAACAATAAGATAGGAGCTTCCTTTTCACAAGCATATCAACTGACCCACTCTCATGTTCATGCTAGCCTTTTCCCTGCTTATTACAATTGGGAACTGCCCCTTCAACTATTTAAGATTGATCCCCACAACCATGCTTTGAGTTTTATCCCCTTCTATCTTCTTAGAAAATCTATTGATGACTTGTCTTTCATTTTCATTCTGGAGTTTCCCATTGCCTTTTGAATGTACCCAAGACTTTCAACTTTCCAACATTAGCAAACATCTCTCTCTCTCTCTGTCTCCCTCTCTCTCAACTCTCTCCCAGCCTGCAATGCCATCTCAGTCATCTCTTCCTCTCTGTCTTCTTTATCATGGCCAAATTTTGCCACTAACAATCTATTCTAGGCCAGGTTCGGTGGCTCAACCTTGTAATCCCAGCACTTTGGCAGGCCTGAAGACTGCCTAAGCCTGTGGGTTCATGACCAGCTTGGGCAACATAGTGAGACCTCATCTCTACAATAAATCAAAAAAATGAGCCAGGTATGGTACTTGCCTCTGTAGTTCTGGCTACTTGGAAGGCTGAGGTGGAAGGATCGCTGGAGCCCAGCAGGTTGATGCTAGGATGGCCATGAGCATGCCATTGTACTCCAGCCTGGGTGAAAGAGTAAGACTCCAACTCAAAAACTAAACAAACCAAAAATCTATTCTATTCATCTCCATTCTGTCACCTATCATTTTTTCTTCAACTCTCCAAATCTGGCTTCCATCTCTGCTACTCCACTAAAATGATGCTTTCTCAGGTCACCAGTGGCTTCACATTGCTGAACCCATTGCTAGTTCTGGGTTCTCACCTCTTCACCCTTGAATGGCATGCAACATGGCTGACCTTGGTTTCCACCACATCACTCCCTTCTGTTTTCCTGTCTTGCTGATTTCTTTCTTCTTCTCATGAGCTCAGTGTCCTCCACCCAACCATTGAATGTTGAATTTTCTCAAGACTTAGTCTTAGAGGCTCCCTACTCC